AAGTTATTAGGGGATTTATTACTCTAGTTAATTACTAGAACTATTTACTCTAAAGAACTTATATTAAGTCCTCTAGTATACTTTTATATTACTTAAAATTATATAAAACTTATACTAAGTAGATATATAAAGCTATACTATAAGTCTTTTCTTTTATTCCTTAGTAATATTATTTTAATCTCTTATAAGATTTACTAATTAATTAGTATAAAGATAGAGTAACTAATTAGGTTAATAATACCTCTATAAGTAAATTAATTACTATAGAGGTATTAGATATATACCTTATATCTTTATTATATAATTATATATTTAAATACTATTATAACTATAATAATTAATAATAATTAAGGTACTAGTAATAGGTTTAATGCGTTTTATATACGATGTAGTAAAATACGCGTTATAGTATAAAATTAGCTTTTTTTATGTTTTTACATAAGTGGGGAAAAAAAGGGGGGCGGACGCTGTCAACGCAACGGACTGTATGCATGATGTCCCTGGGGCGAGGCACCACAGTCGTGCTCAATTGGTCAACTCTTCATTATCCCCCGCCCTGAGCTTCGAAGCATCCTTTTAGGCAGGCCAGGCTAGATTCAAAAATTAATCGCACGAAGACAAGCACTAATCAAAGACCATACGTAATTTGCAACCTCACATCAATCACCCAAAGCTTGAGAGTATAATGGCTACTAAGACGTACATTCTTGCACCGAACTTCACCTACAAGCCAGGCGGTCCAATTCAGCTGGGTTCCATCATAGCTGACCCATTTCGACCGGCGAAGGCCCTCTCTAAGCCCACTACACCGCCCGCTTACGAGACGGTTTTTCATCACAATCTCGAAGCCTCCTGTGAAACCGGTCGATCCGTCAAGCTCTCTCTATGGGCTAGCATTTTCGATACAGCGGGTGCTAGAATCAACGCCTCTCGCGCGCGTAATGCTGTAAACTCCCTCTCCGTCGACAGGCTTGAGACCCGCTATCTCACACAGGAGCTCGCGGACGACGACCCGGATATTGTACGTCGCCTGAAGGAGCCTCGTGTTCAAGCTGCTATCAAGAGTGGACTCTTCGGCCGTGCACCAGTGTACCTAATTTCTGGTATCAAGATCGCCCGGGGGCTAACTGTTCGGACCGAGAGAGGTCGAGGAGTTGGCGGTTCCCTCACAGGGACTGCGCCGACTGCGCAAGCCATCGGAATAGACCTCGGGGCGTCAATAGAAGGTGAAGAAGCGCGGAGCATAAGTAGCTCCTTTGAAGCTGGCGATGAGGACATTATTATTGCTTATCAGCTGCATGTCATCAAAGCAAGGGGAAAATCGACGGGGTTGGTGACGGCAGATGTGTTCCAGTCTGATGCCACGTTTCTTCACGACGATGCCAGCGATGAAATGGAAGATGATATCGAGATTAGTACTGGAGGGGTTGAAGAGTTGGCTGAGGCCGCACGAGAAATGGAGATTGAACTCGAAACTGAGAGGATCTTTGGCTTAGATGGCAAGGGACTCACATGTGTGCAGGCTAGAGAGGGGTAGGCCTTGAAGGCAAGCTGAAATCAGAGACAGTGAACGCTTCGGAAATGTTATGACATTCTTCTATAGTAAGTTGCGTGGTCGACAGAGGAATCTCTCTACCTCGACCTCGGCTAAGTAGGAAGGGCTGATTTGCTATGATCTCGTAAAAGCATCCGCAATAGCTGTCCACGTCTTTTTCGCGTCCCCGTCGACCAATATTCCTTCAGGACATATATATCGGCACCGATTTCCCATGTCCCGTGACATTCTTTTCAACACTTGGTACATGCCTCGTTTTGTCCTCATCTTAGACGAGTCAGCTACTGTCAAGCAGTGGTTTGCTACACCAATGTCGGTAATTGTCATGAGCAAGGCCCCAATGCCTGCCGCCACAGCTGTGGCGACGGATGATCCTGATTTAGCAACTTCTCCGTCCACGTTACTAAGCCATGCCGAAGGCACCTGCCTACCTAGTGTGCCGAATACAACAGGAGCGTCCGGATCGACAGGTGGGTTTGTATCTGAGAAGGCCCCTAAAGCATCGGTCTCACGGACGGAGAACACATCATCGAGATTTGCTGGGAACATCTCTCCACCATTGGCCCCCGAGTTTGACGCTGCAGCAAAGAAGATAAGGTTCCCATGGCGATCATAAAGCGCCTTCCTCAATGCGTCGGTGATACTAGGGTCCTCATTCTTAAAACCAAAGGACATGGAAACGATGTCCACCCTAGCATCGTTCGCCGCCCAGTCGATAGCCTGTCGATTCAAGTCAGTGATGCTACTTTCAGCATTTGGCGTTATTACGTGACGCCCACCTTGACAATCGCTTGGGACGCATTTTTCAAACCGCCCCTATCCTTAGCTATTCTCGCCACATAGATCGAAGCGAAAGGGGCTGCCTTCATTGCAGTTGCTATAGTATGGGTGCCATGCCCCTCCTCATCAATCGGGTCTTCCTGGGATTCCACGAAGTCTTTCCAGCCTTTGACCCTTCGACTGCGTCCAGCCAAACTGAAGAAAATGGATCCAGAGTCGTAGCCAGTATCTAGTATAGCAATCCGTGGGGCTTGTGTAAAAGTAGAAGATTCCTTTCTTTGAAAACACTGATTGATTATCTTCATCTTGTGGAGCCATCGGTCGGACTGGTCGACGTCGCTGCTGATGGTAGGCATGGGCGGTGGTGCAGGAACGTCGGGAACTGTGCTGGGACCGTCGACTTCGTCTACAGGGGTCATGACATGGAGATTTTCTGAGAAACCGAGGTCACCCAAAAGCTTCTCCAAGGGCCGCACAATCACGTTGTGAATGACGGATTTTCGTGTGAAGACATCTTCTTCGATGGACTCGCTGTTCTGTTCCCACGAGGAATTGTTGAGGCATCTGACAATGGCTTTCCGGTAATGCGGGTAATCGAATTCATTCTGACTTTTGTTCGCATCCGTGACTTGTTTGGCAAGATGCCATCTTTCGTTCAGGTCCGCTACTAAGGAGCCGCTGTTCTTGATGGGCAAACTTTGGCCGCGTCCAATCTCTAGCAAGATTATGCAAAGTGAGAGTAGCCGGGGGTAGGGGAAAATGACACTAGGAGCATTACAATACTCAAAGAAATCGCCATTTAGTTCTTTGAACTCGACGGCCAAGTAGGGCTTTGAGGCGTAGAGTGCTCCCCTAGAGTAAGTTTCTTCTTCAGATGGCAACTCACGAAGGAAATGTACCGAGTCGCTTGTCCAAGGTGAATCCATCCATGGGGAATCATAGTACTGCCAAAAAGACCGTGCAACAATGTATGCCAGTATTAACTTCATGCGATTAGACAGCCGTCCGATTCTGAGAAGGTGTCTCAAAGAAAGGCTCTCGCCCGAGTCGACTTTCTGGACAAGAGGAAATCCACGGTAAAGCCGATGAAGCTCTGAATCTTGGATATGGCAGCAAATTCGAGAGCCCAGTCTCGCTTTCACAAGATTACAGAACTCGTCTGGCTTGACCACCGCCATCGTTTTATCAGCTTTGATCTTTTTATCGGATTTTCTGGGACTGCTAAAGGCGCTTTGGCAGGAATCCTTGGTGTCGAACTTGACTGCTTTAGCCGCCTTTTTCCGTAGCGGCACACGCAACTGCAGGTCTTGCCAGTGATGACATGTTGTTGGCGACTCGGAAAACAGCATGTCAAACGCAACGGACTCGTCGACTTTAGAGATACCATCTAGTAGCCTGAGCCTAGCGTGATGCCTTGCATGGGAATATGCGTGACCAGGAATACAGGTGCAGAGTGAATGCGACTTCAGTATAGTGTAGAGCTCGGTATTCACATGCACCGGGTACTCGTCGGTAGTTACCGTTGATTCTGCCTTGTCCGTGGCACCTCTAATGTCATCTTCGTCCAGGGCTTCTTTTGAGAACCGGGCAAGCTTGTGGAAGTACTGGTCTATGACGTTTTGCGAAGAGTTGGCGTAGCACAAAATGCCTCTCTGCACACGAATTTCGACCTTCTGATCTCGGTTGTTGACCAAGGCGTGTATCATAGCCATATTCTGGCTGGACTTTGGCCACTGCGCTGATCGTTAATTTGCAATCTCAAACGCAAGCGATTAGAAAGCTCGCTAGTCAGATGGATGTACCGCGCAGATGCGCTCCAAGTCGCTCAAGAGTTTCGGAACACGACGCTGAAGCTTTGAGCTGTCTATTGATCCCAGCGCTTGACGAGCAATATACAGCTCGGTGGCAAGTCGGCCGGCTACGCTTGATCTCCTTTGCAAAGCGAGATTGAGGGCAGTGCTCGAGACGCGCGACAGGGCAGCCTTGGCGAAGTCATGGCAATCGACAGTCTCGGCGCGCTCGCCGATGCCGATTACGATGGCAAACTCCATAGCGATTGTTCCGCCCTGCGCTTTTCCGAACGCAAAACGATAGCGATGTGGGAGAGTCCAGCCTGATGATGTGAGTAAAATGAATATGGCTGCAGGACCCATTGGCTGCGCCACGGACCCAATAGTCATCCGGGGCGGGGTTGGCTGGCCTGACGATTGGTGCCGTATGATACTTACCTAATCAGTTCGCCATTTGGCATTCAATCAGATATGCGGGCCTTCGACAGTACGCAAACGTCGTCACGCGGGAAAGATTTGTGTCCATGATTGTTCTCATCCTGCTGTGGTCATCGACCTTGGACGAAGGGTGGCCACCTCTGAACACCAGCAGCCAGCATGATCCTAGCTTAGCATGGCCTGATGCGCTGGTATGGAACTAAGCTGACGATAGTGTTGTGATGAGGTACTGAAGTGCTGTTATAGCCACTCAGCCACTTGTGGCTTTATGGCTTCGTGTGGCATAGGCGTATTTAATACGCCTTCGCCTTATATCCCTGTTTCTAAGAGATTAACCTATTTTCACCTATTTCTACGACCTCTACTATATAATAGTTATAAGCTTAGCTCTTAATATGATACTTTATAACCCCTAATATGCTATAAAGTAAGCTATAGCCTAATATAGTTTATTATTTATCTTATAATATCTTTTTTAATAGCTTAATAGTAGCTAATTAGTATACTCCTCGTGAAGTAATATAACTAGCCTATGTAGTTTATATAACTACGCTTTTATATACTTTAGAATAGTATATAGGAATATATCGACCTTTATAGTGAGGAGGTATCTAATTTAATATAGTAAGTATTATACCCTCTTATACTTAATAAACTATATATAAAGTAATAGGAAGAGGTTTAATATAAATATATCTAACTTTATATTAATTAAGCTACTTATTACTATACTTACTAGTTAAACCTTACTAATATTAAGCTACTATTATTACTTATATTTATAGTTAAAGATATTTAAGAAGAGTATATAGGATATATTATAGACTATAGGATATAGGTTATAGAGTAAAAGGAGCTTACTATAAGTTACTGCTTTATTTAGAACTAGGTTTATACTACAGTTAACTATGAGATATTATTAATAATATAGAGCGACTTCGTCCTTATTAGGAATACCTTAATTTAAGCTTTTATTTATGCGCTTAAGAACTACTTTATATTAATAGTCCTCTCTATAGTTATTATTATATAAGATAATTATCTTACTTTACTATAGAGAGCTATAGTAATAATAAATCTAGAGGTATAGTATTAGGAGTAGTATTATATATATTAATATATATAAGTATATAAGATCTTTAAGATCTAAGGGGTTCTTACTTTATATACTTTTTTAGAAGTAGTTAGTAAATACTTTATGCTATTTTAAGCTAAATAAAGCCTTATTAAACTTATTATAGTAGAAGAGACTAATAAGCTTATATATAGTATTATTAAGTATAGAGTAATCTTTACTACCTTTATTAACTAGTATATAAGCTGAGAAAGCTAATATAGTATTTATATTATACTTAGAGGCTACTTAAAGCTTCCCCTCTTTATAACTTTAGAAAACTTTATATAAAATAACCTTATTTTAAGTAGAAGTTATAGAGATAGTAATTTCTAAAAGTACTTATATAGTAGAGAGTACTAATAGTTAGCTATAAAGTATAGCTACTTAGAGATAGTATTATAAGGTAAATAAGCTAAATATAAGGCTTACTTTATAGCTAGTAAAAAAGAGATTATTTTAGAAGTACTCTTAAGACTAGAGTAGAGCTATCTCTAAGATTACTTCTAAAGTAAAAGATAGATTATAGAGGTATTATATCTATTATAAGTATTATTATAGCTACTTTTAGATATAGTTATATAAAGTAATATTAATCTATAGAGACTACCCTTAGTAGAGACTATAGTAGAGTAATATTTTAGATCTTATTACTTAAGTAATATTAATCTATAGAAACTACCCTTAGTAGAGATTATAGTAGAGTAATACTAGCTTATTAGAGGATAGAGGTAATAATAAGGCTAATTTATAGAGACTACTCTTAGTAGAGATTATAGTAGAGTAATATTAATATACTATCTATTAGAGAGTGAGGTGAATAAGCTTCTTTTTATTTATATATAGTTTCGTTTTATAGCTTTATATTATAGATATAAAGCTAGGGGGGTGTGTTATAGCTATTTGGCTACTTATAGCTTTATAGCTTTGTGTAGTATAGGTGTATTTAATACGCCTTCGCCTTGTATCCCTGTTTCTAAGAGATTAACCCGTTTTCACCTATTTCTACGACCCCTACTATGCGACAAGTGCATAATGTGCGCCTTATAAAAGCGAAGACTACGTTGTAATTTCTGGCTATTGCCACTGCTTGACCACGTTCGTTGTGAAGATGACAAGCGAGCCAACTGTAAATCAAGATTCTTATATCGAAATGCTTACGGAGTACCGCATTATTCTCCAGGTCGAATGATATTTCGGCATTATGAAGGGGTTATCTAGATGCTGACGTTCGAATTACAAAAGCTGTGCGTGGAAGGTATTCGAAAATTCACTTGATTTCGGCTCGGGCCTCTAAAAGACGGGAGTAGTCATTCAACATCCGTTGGATGCCCTGAACAATTAGGCTAGCGGGAAAACCCACGAGATATCTGAAGCTCTATCAAACTATTCCCGATTTCTTGTACTGTCCCCCTTGATGTCCAGGTTTGCAATGAAATGATATCTTCGACATGAGAGTTGAAGACGGAGGCGCAGTTGAACCACCTGAATAACAACCGTTTGCTGTGTATAGATTTATATCTGCCTGTTCATTGTTATAGAGAAGATACGTCGTTTCGAACGGTTCTGCAGCAAGTAACATATCAAGATGTCTGCTCTTTGACGACTTGAGCTAATGTTAGAAATCGACTGAACATTGAACACATGGAACGCTCTGGAACTTGGTAGAAATCTAGCTAGCGTTCATAGGTGCGTCAAAATTATACATACGTTGCAAGCCCTCCTGCTATCCATCATCTACTTGTCTCTAGTAAAAATGAAGTCGTTTCAGGGACTCATACCTTAGTGTTCATGTTTACCTTCGTCACAGGATTGCCTCGCGAGTTCCAAGCTCGTGGAATTGGACTATAATGACGAGTAATAGCCTCGCAGGGAACTGTTGCGTAGTTCGGTATCAAAACAATTTCTAGCAAATGACCCATCCTATGTCAGCTTAGGACCTTCTTCCCACAATAAGCTGCTTTATATCTGCAAGTTGGTGTTTAACGCAGTACTCCATGGAACTGGCTCCGATACAAATATCAGCCCCGCGGTCAAGCAAGATACGTGCCACTTCGCCATGTTAAACTAAAACGGCTTTATATGTTGCAGTTTCTCTAGACCTATCTGCGCCGTTGTCGAGGAGAATCTGGACAATGTCAGGTTCGTTTCCGGATTGATTTTGCAATCGGAAGAAATGACTAGATCATGTCAATGTCTGCTACGCCGCTGCTACGCACGTTGTTCTATGCAGGAGATCGTTGTGTAAATATTTGCCGGTTGCGCCAGCGTTGAGCTTTGCACAATAAGACCCTTTTCCAGAATAGGAGTTACGGTGGTGCATACACGTATCCCGATGGCTGCGTACACCGTTGCTGCTCGTAAGTCAGACTATGCAGTGACTTTTTACAGTAAAAGAATGTGAAAGCGTAGTCTTGAAGCCTTTCTGGAAACTGAGAGGAATATTGAGGACCACCTGGAATGTCCCGGCGATCCATATCCAATGTCATCTTAGCAACACCAAATGTCACGACTTTTGATTTGTAGAGTAGCAGCCTAGCCTCGTTTATACCTGGGGGCGTGATAAATAACATGTGTTCATGATGTGCCATTGATACCATTGATGCCATTGATGTTGTGGACAATATCTGCAGCAGGCTCATCAAAAAAGTCCTCAGAGTCATAGTCGGGAGCCGCCTCAAAATGGCATTCCAGGTTGCATCTGCTGAGAATCACCACTTGCTTCTTGGCCAACACTTCTGATATTGGGTTTCCGCCCTGATCCTGCGACCAGTGAATGGTCTCGATGGTATTATTGTCGTTACCGTTGCCGTTGTTGTCCGCTTTGATGGTGATTGAGTAGAGCTCATGCCCCATGCCGACTCGAATGATGTGAATGGTGACTGTATCGTTCTCTTCATCATATGTAGCCTTGTAGCGCCACTTGTCGTCCTGATCCAGAGGCTCGAGACCAGTCTTGAGTTTTTCGAAATCGGCGTGACTGATGGTCAGGCCCCAGGAAGCGGAGGCGGGCACAGGCATCGGTGGTGGTTGCCACATTGTAATTCAATCTCTTGCTGGACACGTTTATTGAGATGCTCAAGACAGAAAGTTTTCAGTCAGTACCTACATCTGGGTATTTTGAATAGGCTCTGCGTGGAATACGACTGAGAGCGGCACGATAACAGGACGAGCTGTGTGCGAGCGTTTGCTCGTATCATGTGTTTTCATACTGACGGTGGGCCTCGCAATATTTTATGATGGCGTGTAATGAGGCGGATGCGCCTGGTGCCTGGCTCGAGGACGCCTAAGGACAAAAGACCCTGCGGTATGCCTTGAGGCTGTCCGCCTGTGGTACGCCTTGAGACGAACCAACAACCAGTCAACCACGCCGGTCGCAACGAATTATATCAGAGACTTCCACTGGCTGTATTGCACCGCCATCCATGAGTGGATACGGCCAAGACAATGGAAAGTGGACGCCTGCCGGGCAATTTGGACGATGTTGACCAAGCCACACAAATCGACAATTGCGCCGACAAATCATCCAAAATGAAAGGCAGATGGGGTCGGGCCCAGGTGTACAGATGTGCGCTCCATCATCATGGCGACAGTTTTTAAGAGATCACTTAGGGAGAATCCATAGCATAGGACCTTTCTCTCGAGGGGTTCATCAACTTGATAAGTTGAAACTAGCGGAGAACACACCGCGATTGGCACTTTTCGGCACAGAGATCGCAGCCATTTGACAGCTTGCAAGTGCCATAATAGCTCGGAAGATGGTCGCATCCTCCTCCTTCACACTTTTCATTATTCACCTATCGGCGGGAAGCGTTGCCACCCCATGCTGAGAAGACACCCGCTGTCACTCCAACGCCAACCAAGGCCTCCTTGTTAGGCCCAGCCAAACGAGAAAGGGAAGCACGGAAACGATAGCTGCCGGCTTGTTTTGAAGTCCCTGAGGTGGCGGGAGCTCAGTCGCCTTAGAGGGCGGCAAGAACCACGGAGATTTCAAGTATGTCTACAAAATTGATCATGACGAGGTTGAGAACAACGTCATGGCTATACAGAAGAGGTATAACAATGTCCACTCTAGAGAGAGTTGAACGTCAGATTTACGTTATCTGCAGTGTATCAGGCATCAATTGACTCACGAGAATGGCATCCGCAGCGTCGAGATTGAAACTCTGGCAAAAGGGATGCAGATGAGCCTACATGCGAATTATGCGAATGATACGAACGATGGAACATAGAGAACGCAGGCTAGCCAGCTCAAAAGATGACGTATTTGTTGTCCACGTCTGAGCCGAAACAGGCGCAGGCTGGTAGTTGATGGTCATGGCAGGGCCGTTTATGTCGGCCATGCGTACTGCGATCTAGGAAGGTCGCACTATGTTAACCTGACCTTCCTTTCTGGGTCGATGCACTTGCTCCCCATCATTATTCGTGACACTAACACAAACTAGAGTGACCGGAAAGAGCCCAGATGTGTTGTTCATTCCATCTTTAGGACCTCGATCATTGTCGCACATGCGGACAATGGGCCACGAAGACTGGTAACCTTGGATATGACATTGCTTGCTTCTGAGGCAAGCGTCCTGCACCGCCAATATCCTCATTGCAGCTCTCGGAGGAAAGAAGCACGCCTGGATGTTGACCAGCTGCAGCATGTTTGACAACTCGTAAGCTAGAGTCCCAACACCGAGGCTCATGCCAGCAATACCGTAAGCATCCTTGGATAATCCCGCGCTGCCCCCAAACATAATAACGACATCAAGATACCCCACGTCGCGCACACCGCTCCCGATAAGATGGTTACAGAACGGCATCCTGCAGCCCAACCACCCGGGATCGTACCCCTCATGGATCACCCCTCCGAGCCAATGTTCTGCCCAGACAGCTTCAAAGGCGGAACGGCCCGCGCGAAAGGCCCGGCGGAGGCCACAGATGAAGCGGGGTCTGGGGTCCTTGCGTCCGATCGGATCTGGATCGGGGTCACGATCTCGGAGGTGAGGTAGCCCCAGATGGCGCCATTATGGGGTCCTTGGCGCGATGAACGCCTGGTCACGCAATGACAGACTTCTTCAAGAGCTCATATCCTCGACGCCCGCTTCGGTAACTGGACGTGGACTCTCGGTGGTCTCATGAGGTATTGAGCGATATCGAATCGTCTGCGACACTTCGCAGTACGTCGAGAGGTGTGGTAGAACTTGAAAAGAAACCACCGAAGGGGACACTATCCTGCTCGGCCCGAGTTGTCAACCAGCACTTGTCGGAAGACTGCACTTAGTCCAATCACCACCGAAATATTGTGTGGTGTATGTCGGAATCGCCAGCAACATGCGCGCAGGACCAGGAGCCGCTTCGTCGGTTGAAACTCGCCGATGTCGTTCGACCAAGTAACTTCATGGGGGGTTTTGCACCACATCAACGTCGTGTCTGAATCGAGTGAAGAGGTGGGGGAACCACGGAAGCCTTGGATCTGTTCCAGTATCTGATGCGATGAAGACATGGGGTCTAAACGCCAGCTCGCAGGCTGATAGTGTTCAGTCACGACTGTCATGCACCAAGCCAGAATACTCTGGGAAGCTTCGATCGATGACATTCAAGTCCCGTTGGTCACTTTCTGCTATTTTGGAAGAAATTAGCTTATGGTACAACATCTCGCAAAATGGATTGGATAGGGGAGTCATTGATGCACGAGTGTTGAGTTTCACTTCATTCCCAAACACACAGCAGCACAACCAAATACAGTCTTATGCCTTCAAGCAATCCAAAGCCTCAATTATTTCAATCGACAAGAATCACTCGAATGATTTAAAGTTTAAAAGACAAGTCGACCGGTTCTTTCGAGCAGGTCAGTTGCTGATGATCACCCCGAAAGGAGACTGAGGACCTTGATGGTTGCATTGATGACAGCCCAAGGAATGGAGGTTTCAAGAACCCGGATGGCCAACCTTGATGGCCACCCTCCTCACACAAAATCATCCGCCATCTCCCTCGCCAACCACCGGTCGCGATGCTGCAAAACTTGCGCAAGATAGCCAGCGCACCTATCTCAACCATGATTTGGTCAGGCGGCAGGGCTTGGACGGTTCATCAGCGACGGGCCGCGGATGTTGAAGGGCCGTTGGGTTGATGAGACAATTTTCCATCGGCCAGCGCAGCTCGCATCCGTTGCATCCCCGCCGCTTGAGGAATGCCGCTTCTCCTTTCCACCGCCATTTGAGGCCCCTGGGAGCAGAGATGGGTTGAGCACATAAAAGGGACCGCTCGTCCTGGTGTTTCCGTCCGGCAGACTTGTTCTGTCGGCTCTCCTACTGACAACTAGTAAGCCCTATGGTTTCGACATTTCCCGACACAGCGACCGATGCAGCCCGATGAACACGACGACACACTCAACTTGAGAAGACTGAGAGAAGAGGGAAACAGGAATACGAAGAGGAAGTGGGAGACGCCTGAACCCCCTACGCCCTACGACTCTGCTCCTTGTCTCTTCTCATGGCCGATGTTTGCCTTGATCCTCGGGAATCGGCTCTCGCGCTGCGGCAAAAGACTCACGTCCCCCCACGGTAATGAGCCACAACGGCACAAATCTCTCATTTGTCTCCTCTTCTCACATCCTCCTGTTCTCCCCCTTGTCGGTCCTCTCACCTTGGACACCGGACGTATCAGCTGATCGGGCAAACTGCTCCTTCGTGAGCGGTCCCCGTCGCCGGCGGCCAGTCTGTATGATTGGGCAACCCACGCTGTTTAGCTAACAGCTTTCTCTCATTTTGGTTCACTGAATCTGCGATATGAGGTTTTTACCGGGATTCTTCCTTCGGGCAAGGTTCTTTTGCTGTCGCCCCCATGGCGCTGAGTCGACGGCGCTCACGCACGGCTGAAGTTTTAGTCGGAGAGGCTATAGTCTGACTGGTGAGACCTCCCTGTGAGTTGTCGTCGACGATCAAGACGACAGCTGAGGCTTTTGCCTTCGACCATGACGATTGTTCTTGATGACTAGGTCGTCTGGCTTCAAGTTGTCTCTTTTGGCTTTCTTCAGCTCTTCAGCTATTATCTCTCACTTCCTGTGGTTTCTATCTTTTTCCGCCGCCGGGTCTGCCTAAGTAGAACGGACCCTCATTCGGCCTAATTGCTAGTCCCTTGTCTGGCCAATACGGGGTGGCCGGGCGCATCACCTGAAGAGTCGGGTGTGGGATGGTACAAACTCTGTTTCGCGCGGGTGCCGCTGCCAAGCGCCATCACAAGCAGATTTCCCTCTCTGTCGTCCTACATACTGTCATGCAGACACCAATTCACACGGCACCGCCAACCAGACCATGACAGCAAAGGCCGCGCCGTCGCCTTCACAAGTCTACTGGTCGGCTATCCCAAGCGTGCAGTTTCCGATACCATTCTTCACACACATGTTCTTCACAACATGGTACCCGAAATGCAGACCATCGAAAAAAACCACCCGATAATCTGCACATTCCAGACCGGCTCTACCCACCCATTCCCACGTTCCCTTCCCTCAACCACCCCAAATCTCTCCATCCATAGACCGAACGTCTGACCGATGAAGGGCGGGGCTATCCTCATCGGGCCCTTCTCGTCCACTCAGTCCGCGACGATCCCACGCCAGCCCGCCTCCAACATCTCATTCACACGACCACGGCACCCCATGCACGCCCATCCTGCCGCCCTGCCGTGGCTCGCCATGAACCTCGCGCGTGGATGCCCAGTCGTCCTCACATGGCCCAATCACAACCGCCCGACGCCCCCCGTCGCCGGGTCCACCCAGCCCCGAACGTGGAACCCACGGGCTACCACACCTGGACGAAGGCTGCACCCGTAGGTTCGGGCCCAAACCCCGCTTCTGCTACTGCAGAGCAAACGTCTGGTCCCCCAACGTCCGGCCTATCTTGGAGTAGATGAGCTATTATGGATCAAGCCATGGGAGTGCCAGCCTGATGCGGTATCACACAACCGCCATGTCAGCATCGCTGCACTGCTGGCTGGCTGGTTACTCCAAACGGCGCCGCGGCATTCGCGGTATCTCCTCCGACAATCCTTGG